CCCATAGTCCAGGCATGGTCCACTGCATTCTCTATTGCTCTGGAGACGTGTCTAGGTCTTTGTGTACTATTCTGGTCTATTGGTTATGTCATTATGTAATGATTCTGGAATTATAAGAACAAAAGAGCAAGGTTGAGGACACTTGGAACCAACTGTAATATTTAAGGTATAAGTAAGTACTCGAGAAAGAAATGATTGAATGACTGTGGGATTTCTAATAAAAGCAGCTAGTCTGAATCGACTTCATTTCATTCACTCTAAACTTTTAACTGATCAGAAATAAGTGCTGGAACCCCTGAAAATGTTTGACAGTATGGTATATGTGACAGTTTTATTGGTTCTTCACTCTGCAAGGAAGTGAGAAGGATGGATTGCTTAGTGAGGTTAAGCAGAAAATGAACTTTGACATTATGTGTATGGATGTGAAAATCTCAAGGCGTGCTGGGAGATGAGGTAGACTTGTCACTCCATAATCCCAACACTTTCAAATATTAAGGGCTGAGTCAGGCTCTGTCCCTAGAAAAGCAATAACTAAAACCAACTTTTGAAATATTCTGGGAAAGTAGAGTTGAATTGATTATCAGCAACTGTGGTGATGTAGCAAGGGTGGTCTTTTGGGGATCAAAATAGGATGACCTTTAACTAGTAACTGTTTTAACTAATAAAATATAAACATGACAAAAAAAGGGGGCGGGGGATTATATCCATAAACACCACCACCGTAGCAGCAGGTATAGTACATATATAGGAGAATGGGAAAATGAACATGTACCCTTTTCCTCCACCATCAAGGATTCCCAGAAATGAAGGTTTCATTTTAGTTAGATCCTTAATGGGTATTTAATAGTCCAGAATGCTCTGTGGAGATTTAGAGACAGAAGTGGAAAGATCACTGATTGTTTATATTCAGGAAATTGGGCCTGTATGAGGAATTTAGGTCACACCAAACGGTTTCTCTTAATGCAAAAGTCTGATAATGGTCTCACATTGCCTCAAATTCCATCAACTTGGCATGCCTTAGTTGTGAAAGGATTTATTTTTTTAAACACAAATGCCAAGGGTAAGATTAAATCCAATTGCTTTCTTCGTAATTCTTAAATAAGACTGATGTGCTGAAGGACTGAACAAATATTTTTGGGTTTGGAATTCCTCAAGAGGTCAGAGAAGCTGTTCTTTCTCTCAAGCTGCAAGTGCCCTCTCCCTGTTTAACATCTCTGTTTCCGGCCAGTCTTAGCAGCTGCTCCCTGCTGTAGATATTTAAGCTTTGAGACTCATGCCACACAGGAGTGCCATAGGCCATCCTACTTACGGCTCTTGACCCAGTCCTTTTTCCACTGTCAGAGAAGATTGAGCCATGCATCTCAGTCTCCATTTCCACCCCGAGGTCTGAAACTTTACAAGAGATACCAGGGTTACTGAACTGGGCCCTGTCCTCTTCTTAGTATCTGCCTGCTCTTGTGGCCACATCCTGGATCTTGTTACAGGGGGACAGAGCAGCCTGGTGCTTAGGATCACAGCTTTTGGAGTCAAACAGACTGGCATCAGATCTCTGCTGCACCACTTATTACCTCTTGACACTAAAGCAAGTTTCTTTCTCTCTAAGCCTCAGTGTTGCTTTCTGTAAAATGGATGAATTGCCCTCACCCCACAGAGTCCCTTCAGTGCATCTAAAGTGCTTGGTATGGGTTGAGCACTCAATTAATGGTAGCTATTGAAAGAGCTGGAATTACATAGCTGCACTGATGTTTTAAACTCAAACATCTCTCCCTTTGACCACTCCCCTCATCTGTTCTCCAGCTTGCCACCTCTGTTCTGCAGCCTCACTGAATCTCACAGTCTAGGAAACGTTCTCTATGTGAAGGAGAATATAGCTACCCAGTCCTGCGGTCATATGCTTCCAAGTTCATAACCTTACAGTCTACATTTCTGTCTGGGTTTCTGAGGAAGACCCCAAGGACTGGCCCATCTCTGGGTGAAGGAGAGTGCGGTCTGTTATGGGAGGGGAACTGGGCTAAGACAGGAGACATGGTAGAGGAAAGATGGGCATGGGCAGACTGGAGGTAGAACCCTTCCTCTCAAGAGAAAGTAGTGTTTATGCATCTGTTACTTTAGGTAAACTTTTTAAAACTTTTTATGTGTCTGTTACTTTTAGGTAAATACGGATATTCTGTTGAAAAGTTTTTTCAAGGTCCAGGGTAACCATTGGTTTGATTGGCTTTTAATGAAATGTTTACAACACAAATATTTTATCACAACCATATTTGAATTGATGTTCCATGCATCATGGGTAGGAGGGGGGAGATGCTGAGCTTTTGTTCTTATCATTCCTTATTTATAGGGAAGAAATTTAAATGACTCACCCAAGGTCCAATATGTAATACACCCTGCAGAGTGAATGTCCCGTGTGGGCACCAGGGACTCTGTGTCAGGCCTTCAGAGCCCTTTCCCAAATTTTCTCTTTGGGAAGTGGAGAGGGGTGGCTGTCTCTTCCCCTGGTCCTTTCCCCAGAGAGCCCATGCCTTTCCACATCACTCTCCGTCTTCCTTCTCAAGCAGCCCCTGACATTGTTTATCTACTTTTTGATTTGTTCCACCATTACAAGGTAACTCTTGAGGACAGGGACTGGCTCACTGTCTTTCTTGTAAGTATCCTTCTGGCTTTGTGCTTTGTATACATCGTGCATGCACATATTGCATATTTGCTGAAAGAATGAATGACTCAGTTGTATTGGTGAGAATCTGTGAGAATGTGACCCCAGAGCAAATGGTACATGGCATCTCCATTCCCCCTTCTCTTCCTTCTTTGCCATAACCTGCCAAGAGGGAGGAACAGGAGGAAGAGTTTGCGTTCCCAAGGATCCAGCTCCGCTCCTCCTGTGTTTGCTCTGTGTGGAGCTTCAGCACACCTTCATTCTGGCCTAAGCCAGTCAAGGTTGAGTTTCTGTCAATGCCAGGCCTCAGCTATATCCAACTGTTCAGAGCCTGTTGAAAGCAGTGGGCCACACTGGCTTTAGGCATGGACACTTGAGTCAAGTAACCACTCTGCACATCTAATTTGTATCCCCTTGACACAGTTTCATAACCTTTGTGTGCCTTCATCTTATTGGCTGTAAAATGGGAATGACCTCTTATGGTTGTTCCTAGGATTAACTGAAATAGTCCATGTGAAATTTAGCACAGGTGAGACACATCCTGAGTTTTCAGTTAAAGCTGGCTGTTGTACTATATACAGTACTAAATAAATATTTTTCATGTCACTTGTCTCTAGGTTGCTAGGCCTACTTCCTCTGTACCCCTCTCCCTGCCCCATCTGGCACAGGTCATTGATGGGCTGGAGTTTTGAGAGGGGTGTGAGTGGAGACCCAGGAGGTCTGGGTGGGACTTCAGATTGTACTGATTGCTCACTGTAGACGGGGGATGCTATGGTGTGAGGTTTGTGTGAGTCGGTTGGTTGGTTTTAGTTTGGTTCTGGTGATTTCCACAGGGGAAATAATTCAGAGGGAATAAGTGACACCCCCCCCCCCACAAGGAGCTTGCCTGATTTTCTACAGGAAGCAAAGGGGATAGAAAAAGTAGCATCCTAAATGTGTGCTGGGAGTGAGTGGTCCAAGGTTGAGTCTTGTTTTCAGCTGCTCCAAGGGATAAGGCTGGGCCAGAATGTGGGCACTGGAGTTGGGTTTAGGTCCTTGTAAGAGGCAATGGAAACAGTTCCCCAGCTTTCATCACTGCCCCAAAGCAGTGCACTGAGTGCTGGCAGCAACTGGGCCTTCTCAGCTGTGCTCCTACCAGTTGAATAAATTGCCAACTCAATAAAGAAAAAGTTTTGTGAGTAAATAAATCTGTGTAAGCCAATGAGCATGATGTACCCTACATGAAAAAAATTTGTTATGGAAACGTGATAAGAGTTGCAAAAAATATTTGTTATTGTTGTCAAATTTGGTATGGGCAAAACAACTATAAAAGATTGGGGGAAGTATCAGTAATCAGGAAGGTCTCTGCTCAAACAGCTTTTCAGGTGGCAAGTTCTTGCTCTCCTTTATAAAGAAAAGCAATAGAAAAATCATAGAGAATTGTTTATTCTCTATGTTTATAACTTTTTACTGGCATTAACTGAGGAAAACAAACAGGGAACAACAGACAATGTCAGTAAATAGCTTTAGCCAGTGCCAGAGCTTGGCAGATAAATGCACATTGGTATCTTAAAGTGTTTATGGTTCAAAGTATTTTTAGTATATATATTGTTATAATTACAATAGGGTATAATAGTATACCCTAACACAGTATTATATATACTGTATTTTTAAAAATGAATTTCCTACTTTAATGGCTACTCACTCCATCAATCAATCAGCTGCTTATGTGTATCAGGTGAGTGGGTTTCTACTGTTACTGACAACTGGAGTTGTCCAGTGTGTTTTGTTGACTCCTAGAAGACTGGTCTGTCAGCTTTGTTTTGTAAGACTGGAAGTAAGACTTACAGCTATGTTAATAGTCATGTTAATAACACTGTTACCAAAATAACCTATATCTCTGGATTCTGTTCCCAAAGGAATGTCTTTTTATAGTCAAACTGACCTTTCAGATTTTTAATCACTTGGTTTTTACTCTGCCTTCCGAGTACTGTGTGGACGTAATTGGAATTATGGGTTGCTCTGGTTCAGCAGGAGCTCAAAAACAGTGAGGATTGTTGTGAGCCAGAGTCCCCCCTGTGAGGGGAGTGGAGAACAGGAGCGGGCACGGCTCGTGGGATGAGGGAAAACCTACTTGAACCTTGGAGCTTGCTATGTGGTTGAAACATTTGATTTCTAGGCATCAGGCACCAACTCCAAATATGAGAATAAAGGTAAATCCTTCTATAGCATGGTATTTTTTAACTTCAAATGGCTTCAGCTTTCCAGTTAATTGTTCCCTTCCTCTGGTCACATTGACAGTTGAACATGTATTGCACTAACATAGTAGCAACCCACAACCTAAAATTGCCTGGCTCTCTTGTTCTCGCAGGTGTTGGGGCGATGCTTCTTGACTGTGGTTCAGGTCCATTTCCAGTTTCTGACCCAGGCATTACAGAAGGTCCAGCCAGTAGCTCACTCTTGCTTTGCCGAGGTGTTTGTGCCAGAAAAGAAGAACAGCAGTGGTGGCATATCTGGCGTGGGCCACACACCCGAACTGGAGGAAGCTGTGCGATCCTGGCGCGGGGCTGCAGAGGTAATTCTGACTTTGGGCACATTTGTGCCCTGTGTTCAAATAGGAGAGGTTCCAGAGGACCTTTGCCTTTGCTTCTTAAAAGAGGCGTTTCATTTAGAAATGTGAGTTTTAAGCTATTACTATTAGCCTGTTCATTAATTTAACAGTGAATGTCTTTGTAAATGCCCACTTTGTGCCAAGTATGCACTAGGCACTGGGGTGACAGCCTCTGCTCACAGCCTCCTAGGAGAAAGGGCTTACAAAAACGGGTAGGGGATGGTGATGGAGGTGTGTGGGAGCCAAGAGAAAGGGCCCTGCTACTAGGAGCAGTGCACAAAGCTTCTGGAAGAGGGAACAGGGAACAAAGGCTGGAGCTGGAGCCTAAGTCTGGAAAGACAGGCTGTGGAGGGAGGGCCAATGGTCAGCCAGGCAACCAGGTGGGTAGTTGGTAACAACACATTTCTTACAGATATTTTAATACTCCTTTGTTTCCAAAGGGAGGAAAAAGCCTTCCAAGTTGAGACTTTACCTAAGACTTAGTGTTCCATTTTGCAGAGTAAAAGATAATTTATAGTTAACAAGTAGTATACTGATTTATTATATAATGTCTAGTTTGAATCCTTCCATAATTAAATTGGCAGTGTGTTTAATTTGATGTTTTAGAAGTCTCCTTTAATCAAGTTTCTAAACATGATTTTTCACATTTTCACATTGTGCTTTGCCTAATTTTCTTATTTTAATTTTATGTTGTTCTGCTGCATTGTTACTTCTTTTGAATTGCGTTCTGATTTCTTTTCCTGTTTGCTTGTTTGCTTTGGTTTCTCTTTCATGTTAAGGGCTTGAGCTTTCTGCAACTTTCTAGATGTTAATCAAAGCAGCCCTGAAATGCTACTTGGGGTTCAAATGTGGGAGTGGGACCTGCTGACTTCGTGATAGGTGGCTGGGCAGTGGAGTCCAGAACTTGACCTTGGCATCTTACCACCCTTTGTGTTCTCTGGGCTGCTGAGCTCCAACCTCTGTATTATGGAACTCACATTCCAGTCCTTAGTACCTACCTGTCTCACATCTTCTCCAGTCCACCTGTTGGTATCATTCATGCTGAGAATTCAGCCCACATAAGCCTTAGTATGTTGACCTTTTCCTTCACCCATTTCAGTCTGCCCAGGCCTTTCTGCCCTCCTTTTGTTTCTAGCCGGTGACCCTGCCTCACACTGCACCGAGAAAATAGAATTCACCCTGGCAATAGCTCCTCCTCACCACACCCTTTCAAACAACACCTGTCAGACCCTCTTCTCTTCCTTCCACTTCATTACCTCCTGTCCAGGGCCTGCCCAGTCCCCACCCTTCCCATAGCTTCCAGGCTTCTGCAGTGGGAACCTGTGTTTTCTCTCCCTCCTCCTCAGCATGCTCCCACCAGTATATAAACATGCTTGCAAACACAAACCTGCCCTGCCTGCCCTGCCCTTTCTCTGCTCTTTTCATAGCCAGGTTCTTGGAAGAATTGTCTACCTCACCTTGGATTCATTATAAAAAAGTGATCATGAAACATCCGAAACATATAGGAAATGTCATAATCTATCTATCATCCTCTTAGCTTTGTCAGGTGAAACATAACTCTGCCAAGTTTGTGTCATGCCTTTTATTTTTCACAGAAAAATAGTATTACAAATGCAGTTGAATCCTCTTTGTACCTCTCCACTATCTTATTCATATCCATTCCTCTCTAGAGATAAATTCTTCTGAATTGGAGTCTGTAATTCCTGGGCATATTTTGTATTTCTACCCTGTACACATATATCTGTAAATAATGTATTATTTTGCACAGTATGAAACTTTATATAAATGGCATCATTCAGCTCGCTGAAATCTGGCTTCCACTCCTACACAAGAACGTGCCTTCTCTTGTCAGGGTCACTGGTGCCTTCTGTGTTGCTAAATGCAGGGAAACTTTTGACTCCATTCAGCCCCTTGCAGCAACATGAGCTTTCGGAAACCCTCTCTTTGTGTGGCCTCCCTGGGCCAGGCAGCTTAGGTCTCCTCTTACTCATGGGCCATTCTCTCCATTTCTTTTGCTAGATTCTCCTCTTCAGTGCAGCTTATTTATAAATGCGAGTTATTCAAGGCTCACTTCCAGGTGCCCTTTTCCCTAGGGGGTCTCCATCTAGTCTTGGAACTTTAGAAACCTGTGTGCTGGGGGCCCTCAAATGTTGTGACCAGTCCGCTTCTCCTGTGGGCTCCTAGCCCCTGTATTCAGCTTCTTCTTGCCTCAGGTATCCAGAAGGCTCAGGCTTAGCTTTGCCCACATACCTAAGCCTCCCCAAATCTCCCCAACCCAGTAAGCGGTGCCATCACACACGGGGTTGTTCAAGCAAGAAACCTGAGATTTATCTTCCGGTCTCTCTGTCACATGTACATCCAGTCCATAAGGAAGCCCTGGCAGGTCCTAGCTCAAAAATATTATTCCAGATCTGCCCTTTCCATGACCACTATCACTGCCCTAGTTCAGTGAATCATTACTCTCTGATACCTGCAGTAGCTAGACTCTCTTCTCCCCTCCCTGTCTTGCCATCCATCCTTCATCTCTTTCTATTTAAAATTGGATAATGTTACTCTCCGCACTTTATTCAACATAGTACTGGAGGTCCTAGCCATGGCAATCAGACAAAACAAAGAAATACAAGGCATCCAGATTGGTAAGGAAGAAGTCAAACTGTCACTATTTTCAGATGACATGATATTATACATAAAAAACCCTAAAGACTCCACTCCAAAACTACTAGAACTAATATCGGAATTCAGCAAAGTTGTAGGATACAAAATTAACACACAGAAATCTGTGGCTTTCCTATACACTAGGAATGAACTAATAGAAAGATGCAATTCCATTCACAATTGCATCAAAAAGAATAAAATACCTAGAAATAAACCTAACCAAAGAAGTGAAAGACCTATACCCTGAAAACTATAAGACACTCTTAAGAGAAATTAAAGACACTAACAAATGGAAACTCATCCCATGCTCCTGGCTAGGAAGAATTAATATCATCAAAATGGCCATCCTGCCCAAAGCAATATACAGATTTGATGCAATCCCTATCAAATTGCCAATAACATTCTTCGATGAACTAGAACAAATAGTTCAGAAATTCATATGGAAACACCAAAGACCCCGAATAGCCAAAGCAGTCCTGAGAAGGAAGAATAAAATGGGGATGATCTTGCTCCCCAACATCAAGCTCTACTACAAAGCCATAGTAATCAAGACAATTTGGTACTGGCACAAGAACAGAGCCACAGACCAGTGAAACAGAATAGAGACCCCAGATATTAACCCAAACATATATGGTCAGTTAATATATGATAAAGGAGCCATGGACATACAATGGGGAAATGACAGCCTCTTCAACAGCTGGTGTTGGCAAAATTGGACAGCTACATGTAAGAGAATGAAACTGGATCATTGTCTAACCCCATACACTAAAGTAAACTTGAAATGGTTCAAAGATTTGAATGTAAGTCATGAAACCATAAAACTATTAGAAAAAAACATATGCAAAAATCTCTTAGACATAAACATGAGTGACTTCTTCATGAACATATCTTCCCGGGCAAGGGAAACAAGAGCAAAAATGAACAAGTGGGACTATATGAAACTAAAAAGCTTCTGTACAGCAAAGAACACCATCAATAGAACAAAAAGGCATCCTACAGTATGGGAGAATATATTCACAAATGACATATCCGATAAAGGGTTGACATGCAAAATATATAAAGAGCTCACACACCTCAACAAAAAGAAGCAAATAATCCAATTATAAAATGGGCAGAGGAGCTG